TTTGTAGACTTGGTTAAAAATTTCCATGAAATTAAATTAAGAGTCACTCAAATAAAATTAAGAAAGGTTTATGATTATATTAGGATTTTTATTTTTATTTTGAACAAAGTTTTGGTTCTTTTTGTGTTTTGGTTGATTTTGTGCCAAATGATCTCAAAGGTGTTTTGTTTTTTTTTATTTCAGTTTTCGTCTGGTTCCTTTCCTGACGGAGCTGCGAGCGGTGATGGACTGGGTCTGGACCGACACGTCTCTGTCTCTGTCCAGCTGGATCTGTGTGGAGGACATCTACGCTCATATCTTCATCCTCAAATGTTGGAGAGAGTCAGAGAAGGTTTTTATCAGCCCAACGGGTTACAGATATTCATAATTTAACATTTATATAAGTGTTTATTGACTTATATTTTACAAACAATAACAGATCTTATTGTGAAAATGCTGGTTTATTATTTACAGAGTTGATTTCTGTTGAATAAATTTCTGTAAATTTTTACATTTTATTTTCATCCATTTAAAAAAATATTTCGTTAAATTTACTAAGAAAATCTCGATAGAAACACATTAAGTTCTCTTCACTTCCAGCAAAAGCCGTTTTAGTTTGAAATCTGCTGACTGGCTTTATTTTTGTCTTCATATGTAACTCTTAGTTTTTGSCTGCCTTTAGTAAGCTTTCGGCTACTTCTTGGTTTTAGCTAGCATTTTGCTACTTGATGTTTTAGCTGTTGATCAGCTAATGTATATACTGATACTTTGTTTTTGTCTACCCTTTTGTTACTTTTAGATTTTAGCTAGCTTTTGGTTATTTTTTAGTGTTTAGCTACCATTGTGTTATTTTAGCAATCATTCTGCATGTTTTAGCTTTTAACTAGTCTTCAGCTACTTTTTGGTTTTAGCTATCTTTGAGCTACTTTTAATTCTACTATTCTGTTACTTTAGCTATTGTTTTGCAGCTTTTAGACATGCTTTTGCTCCTTTTATCTATCATTCTGCAACTATTAGCTTTTGCCTAGCCTTTASCTACTTTTTGGTTTTAGCTGGCTTTTTGCTACTTTTAGTTTTTAGCTACCAGTCCGTTACTTTAGCAATTCTGCAGCTTTTATATATAATTTTGTTCCTTTTGTCAATCATTCTGCAAATATTAGCTTTTACCTAATCTTTGGGTACTTTTTGTTTTAGYTAGCCTTTTGTCACTTTTAGCTTTTTTACTACCTTTTTGTTTTACCTAGCCTTTTTCTTTGTGTAGCTTTTGGCATGTACCGTGCATTTTAGTTGTTCCTATGCTTTTGCTTTTTTTGTAATTGTTTTATAGATGGTTCTKCAGCTTTTAGCATTTTAATCGTTTTAGCTTTTGCGACTATCGTTTAGCTAGTTTTTTTTCTCTTAATTGTTTTAATTCTTTTCATTAGCATTTTATTTTGCTACCTCTAGGTAGCATTTTGTGGCTTTCAGCTTTTCTTCAGCCCTTTTTTTTTACTTTTAGCTTACAGGTAAATAATTTTTCTCTTTTTAATTAGCATTTTGCTACAGCTTTTAGCTACTTTTCTGTTTATTTTTGCTCTAACGGCTCAGTTTCAGTTTCTCTATCAGGTTTCAGCTTGACAGGAGCAATTCAGTCTTTTTCAGAAGATTCACCTTGGGCTGTTCGTGGCGTCTTTGTCTGCAGAGATACCCTCAGCCGCGAGGCCAGAAGAAGAAGAAGGTGGTGAAGTACGGGATGGGAGGAATGATCGTGGTTCTGCTCATCTGCATCGTCTGGTTCCCGCTCCTCTTCATGTCCCTCGTCAAATCTGTGGCCGGAGTCGTCAACGCGCCGCTGGATGTGTCCTTGGAAATCACGCTGGCCGGCTTCCAGGTGAGGACGCAGCAAACCGACCGACCCAAGAGCAAAAAGACGCTTTTGACAAAACAACTTTTTTAACTCTGATTTTTCTTTTCACAGCCCATCTTCACCATGAGTGCTCAACAAAAGCAGCTGCAAACTGTGACTTCGGAACAATTTAAAGACTTTTGTCAGAAATTTAGATCTGACGATGTAATTAACTGTTTGATACACAGCATGGGTTTCGTGTGTTACTAGACCAATATTTAACAGCAACATTTTCTGTTGTGTGCAGGCCATTCAGTGGCTGGAGACATATACCTACGAAGACCTGATAATCGCAGACCTGAAAGGCAGCTCCAACTCTCTGTGGACCATCAGCCCCCCCAGCAGAGAAAATCTGATCACAAAGTTGGGCACCAGTGAGGATTTCCCCATAACCGTGTCTTGGTCTGTGCAAAGGTACACCGTCGTTCCTTGTCTTGTTCTTGTCTTGTAGTTGTTTTCACACGCTGACCCACCTGCAGGCCTGAGGTGTAAAGTTCTCACGCCTTGTTTTTGTTTTTGTTTTTTCTATTGCATTCAGGAACCTGACTCTTGGAGCCAAGGCTGAAACTGCATCTGGAAAAAATGTAAAAAATCTGTGCCCAGAAACCAAACTGAATCTGATTATGCTTCTGAACGGGACAGTGGAGCAGACCCCCGTGTGAGTAAATCCTTCTGCTTCTCTTTAGGTTCACTCCTCGTCATCATGCCTGAGCTACAGGATGAGTGAAAACTCTCAGGACATCTTTTATTTCAGAGACCAAAGGGAGAAATGAAATGGTAATGGGTGAGATGGGTGAGGGAGTGCTATGTCTCAGGCTATGTCTGAAACATGGCCAACATCTTGAAAGCTGCCATTTTTGCAATAACTGACATGTTCAACCTGAATACAACATGTCAAACAATGGGCAGCGGTCTCAGTTGTTGCTGCAGTTTTCTGTGTTGATAACCTTTGAACCACAAAAGAATTTGTGAATCAGAGACCGGTAATCAGTTTGAGATAATTCTTGTCTTCTCTGATATGCTACATGACAAACTTCCCATTAGAAAATTTTGACTTTGATCCAAGATGGTGGCCAGGATTTGGTCACCCTCACCCATTATTTGCTAGAGTTTTCAGATATTACTTTTTCTTTTAGTTTCTGAAATAAAAGGTGTCCCGAGTCTTTTGACTCACCCTGTGTATTCTCCAACAGAGAATTTGGCATGTAGAATTATAGTTCACAGCATGTAGCATTACAGCTGATAGCATGTAGCATTACAGCTGATAGCATGTAGCATTACAGCTCATAGCATGTAGCATTACAGCTCATAGCATGTAGCATTACAGCTCATAGCATGTAGCATTACAGCTGATAGCATGTAGCATTACAGCTGATAGCATGTAGCATTATAGCTTATAGCATGTAGCATTACAGCTCATAGCATATAGCATTATAGCTCACAGCATGTAGCATTACAGCTCATAGCATGTAGCATTACAGCTCATAGCGTGTAGCATTATAGCTTATAGCATGTAGCATTACAGCTCATAGCATGTAGAATTATAGCTCATAGCATGTAGCATTATAGCTTATAGCATGTAGCATTACAGCTCATAGCATGTAGAATTATAGCTCACAGCATGTAGCATTATAGCTTATAGCATGTAGCATTACAGCTCATAGCATGTAGCATTATAGCTTATAGCATGTAGCATTACAGCTCATAGCATGTAGCATTACAGCTTATAGCATGTAGCATTACAGCTCATAGCATGTAGCATTACAGCTCACAGCATGTAGAATTATAGCTCACAGCATGTAGAAATATAGCTCGCAGAATGTAGCATTATAGCTCACAGCTTGTAGCATTATAGCTCATAGCATGTAGAATTATAGCTTACAGCATGTAGAATTATAGCTCACAGCATGTAGCATTATAGCTCACAGCGGGTAGCATTATAGCTCATAGCGTGTAGCATTATAGCTCATAGCGTGTAGCATTATAGCTCATAGCATGTAGCACTATAGCTCACAGCATGTAGCACTATAGCTCATAGCATGTAGAATTATAGCTCACAGCATGTAGCATTATAGCTTACAGCATGTAGCATTATAGCTCACAGCAGGTAGCATTATAGCTCATAGGATGTAGCATTATAGCTCACAGCATGTAGCATTATAGCTCATAGCATGTAGCACTATAGCTCACAGCATGTAGCACTATAGCTCACAGCATGTAGCACTATAGCTCACAGCATGTAGCACTATAGCTCACATCTTGTAGCACTATAGCTCACAGCATGTAGCACTATAGCTCACATCTTGTAGCACTATAGCTCACAGCATGTAGCACTATAGCTCACAGCATGTAGCACTATAGCTCACAGCATGTAGCTCTTTAGCCAACACAGATATGACCGATTGGTCTTTTTAAGAGTTGTGTTTCTGTCTTTTGTAGGACCATAGCAGAAATCATCCCTCGTTATATTCGAGCTCCCAGTGACTCAGATGCCACTCATGTTGAGCAGCTCGGTGATTTTCACATTTTTCATTAAAACAGTAAAAACCAACTCAAACAGACGTTCTATGCTAATGTCTAATTTTACTGTTTTTCCAGGTGAGAAGATGATTAACATAACCTTGACGTTGGTGCGAGCCCAGAATTCTTCAGCACAGGTTCAGGAGTGGTGGATCGTCGACCAAACCAAACCGGGCTTTTTGGACAATCCCAGTGAGAAATCCGATCGGAAGCAGGACCGGAAAGCCGAAGCTGGTCTGCGGCTCTACATCTTCAGCGACCAAGTCAGCCCGCCCAGTCTGGGCTTCCTGGCTGGATACGGGTTTGTACCAACAGATATGGTTTAATCTTTGTCCCAGGTGTCCTGGAATATAGTAAGAGTACATAATGGAAACAAAAGCCTTGAATACAAATGGCAGCCATTATAGATTAATGTGTTTTGACAAAGACACAACATTTCTCTTGTATTCGTTGTATAAAATTTGTCAAAATTTACTCCCCAAATTTATGGATGATTTTTTTGAGTTACATTTTTTGCATTACACACACAAATAAGGTAAAAAAACAGCTGGAGGAACATCTTATAGCTAATTAAGTAATTCTGAACGGGCCAGTAAAAGTAYAAAACGAAAATTTTAGAGAATCTGAATCTGTCAGAAACAAAGATAAACAGAGGTTCACCAGTCTGCAAAAAAACTGACCCAAAAAGAGTGGAACAATTCCAGAAAAATGTTCCTCAATGGAGAATTGAAAGCCTTTGAATATCCCATCATCTACAAATCATAAGACTATAAAAGATTAGAAGAATCTGAAGCTCAGCCGTCAGTACTGGAGCTGTAAGTCAATATAATGACACTTTAGCCTGGAGCAAAGCCCCGCCCACATCATAACATTAAACACATGCGAATCTTATTTTGTCTGTGACGCACCACCATTACACCAAACTCCAAGTAAAAGTACCGAAGACTACCGAATTACCCAGCAACTCTAACGACGAGACAAAACGACAGGAGGATAAGCTAATAGTAGCTAAAGTTAGCATGTTGTTGTTTAGTTGAACAAACTGCCGCTGCAAACAATTCAAGTAAAGTTGATCTTGTCTGCGTAACCCCATGGACTCAAGAATATTTCCACAAGTCCTTCTTTGTAAACACAGCTCACTTTGCTGTCCAATTATAGCTTGTTAAAGCTCTATCGTGCAAAGACAAAGCTATATCTTGACACCGCTGCTGTCCTCTCTGGACTGAGTCAAAGTGGACAGCTGTTCTGTGGTCAGACAAATTAAACATGGATGAAGCATGTTATCAGTGCACAAAGGCTGCTTCTCTGTTGGTATGGGGGTGCATTAGTGCCTATGATAAACGATTAGGAAGGCACCATCAGTGCAGAAATGTTTATAATAAATATRAAAAGATTAAAATGTCTCATCTTATAACCAGAAATCACCAGATCCCGATGCGTTTCTGTGAAACTCTTCCTCACACTGAGCGTCTTCTTCCTCCTCCAGCATCATGGGCCTGTACGCCTCCGTGGTTCTGGTGATCGGGAAGTTTGTGCGCGAGTTCTTCAGCGGCATCTCCCACACCATCATGTTCGAGGAGCTGCCCAACGTGGACCGCATCCTCAAGCTCTGCACCGACATCTTCCTGGTCCGGGAGACCGGGGAGCTGGACCTGGAGGAGGACATGTACTCCAAGCTCATCTTCCTCTACCGCTCGCCGGAGACCATGATCAAGTGGACCCGGGAGAAAACCCAGTGAGGCCGCTCGGCTAGCTTTTCGGCTCGCAAAGCAGCAGAGGGTGATCTTCTTCGGCTGGTATCAGGCGGCGGCGGCGGCGGCGGCGGGGCCACGCAGAAACTCTTAATGAAAAAACCGGGACGACAAAAACTGTCTCGTTAAGAGCACAAATTTTGCAGCTGCTTTCCTCGAACGTCAGAAACAAACTACTGTAGAACTTTTTTTGTACCTGCCTGGTAGGTCGCGGCTGTTTAAGGGCTTCCCACTGACATTTCTGAGCACAATCTCTAAAAAAATAAAAAATAAATTAAAAAAATCCTCCCAACTGGAACCTGTGAGTGGAGGGAACGGTGCAATACTGAGGTTCCTGCCAGGTTTTGGTGGACAAATTAAAAAAAGGGAGGACATTTACAACCAACAAACCTTTTTTTCTAAACGTCAGGGGCACTAAAATCAAAACGTGGAGAACATGATCAGACTATCTTGCCTTATTTTGTCGAGAAGAACTGTTCTGAATTACATCTTTCTCAGGAAGAGCTGTTTTCAATGACATTCATTCTGCGTAAATGTGACGCATCTGAAGGGAATTTGTAGAAAAATGTGTTTTAAGTGGCATGAAATATACTGTTTGTGTCGTTCAGGTGGGCTCGACTCACGTCTGTTTACTGCACATGGGCTTTTCTGTTTATGCTTCCTGTTTTGCAGAGAGAATTGCCAATCAAACATCCACTCGATCACCTGCGGCGTCGTTATCAGATGGTAGAATCCTCCTCTTCATCACACCTCGCTGGTTTTTTTAAACATTAAATAATTGAAAAGAGAAGAAAAGCTTCACTACGAAGGGCTGACACGACAAGCCCTTTGGTCCAAACTATGCATTAGAGGACATTTTAGCATGAGAGAGAAAAAATAATAAAAAAAACCAAACTTCATTATTGCCATGAGTGACTTTCAGGACATGTACATACGGGGTTGTATCACCAGGAACAGGTCGTGGAGGAATGAAATGTGAAGTTGTTCCTGTATATTAAAGCCATGTGATATCATAGACGTTAAGAGACGTGCAAATAAAAAATGTCTTGAAAGGGTTTTTTTTTTCCCGGGTTTTGTTCGGCTGTTTTGGATCTGAGTTCTGCTGAGAAGCAGCCGCAGCAGAACGGACCTCCAGCTGCAGCTTTCATCACATTTAAAGGTAAATATTCAGAGGTTGTAGAAATCCTCCATTTAGCTTTTATCTGCAGTTTTTTTATTTCTTCTTTTAGCTATGGTTTTGCTAATTTTAGCTTTAGCACCTCTTTTGCTTTATTTAATTTTTAGCTATTCTTTTACCTTTTCAGCTTTTAGCTACTGTTTTTTGTTTAGTTTTTTTGCTTCTGTTTTACCAGTTTTAACTTTTAGCTATGATCTTGTTCTTAGCTTATAGCTGCTGTTTTGCTAATCTTAACATTTAGTGATAGTTTTGCGTTTTCAGCTAGTTTTACTTTTATTAGTTTTTACACCTTTTTTGCTACATTTTTCTTTTAGCTACTGTTTTAGCTAGTACTTTGCTACTAAAGGCTTGTTTTGACTTGTAGCTATGCTCTTGTTTTAGCTTATAAATGCTCTTTTTTATATATGCACAAATTTTAGGTACAATTTTTTCTGTTAGCATTTAACTATTTGGTTTAAGCTGGTTTTGACTTGTGCTTTAACTTTTGTTTTGCTGGTTTGTGCTTATTTACTCATTATTTTCTTATTGGTTATTCTTTCATCTGCAGATTTGAGCATTTTCATTATGTAGCTACAGATATTTTCATTTTARCTATTTTGCTCATTTTATCTTCATTTTTCAACAACTGGAGCAGTCACTCAGCTCAAACTMCAGCTTTGCAGAAAATAAAATGTTTTTGGTTTTGCTTCTTTAAAAAAGTATTAGCAGTAAATATAAGCAGACAAAAATGAATCCATCTACATATAAATTAATATAAAAGTTGACAGATTTGGTTTCAATAAATCACTTTATTCGTTTTAAACATGCACTTCCATCATGATTGCATATTGCTTCAGTAAAATCTGTGAATACTGAATAAATTATCTGTACAAATAAACCTCAGACACATTTAGTTTATGGTTTGAATATATCTGCAGTAAACTACCAACACACGACAAACAGCAGAATGTACAGCTTCACAGAGACGACAAATGATACAACAAGGASATAAAACAGCCGAAGAGTCGCCTCAAACTTAAAGGCTTAACATCAACGATTCCTGCATCAGCGGCTGATTGTATTTTCTGCACATTGAAGGTGAAACGGCCGGCGGAGCAGAGAGGGGTTTGAAGTCACAGAGGGGAGCACCCATGGATGAAGGCTAACACAGGCCGCCTTCATACTCATCCTCCTCCTCGTTAGCAGCAGCCGGCGCCCCGCTGGCGCCACCTTGTGGAGCAGCAGCTGCCTTCTTCTTCTTCCCTCCGCCTGGTACTTTCAGGGAGATGGCCAGCTTGGCGTACTGGGAGGAGAAAAAGATTTGTTGATGTTCAACTCTGTTAGCGCCTCTCAGGTGTGAACGGTACTCACGTCGTTGTCCATGTACTTCAGCAGAGGCGAGTTGCACACGCGGTACGCCTGGTCCTCGTCCTGCTCGTCGTAGCCCTGCAGCAGCGTCTCCATGGCCACGCAGTCCTCGCTCCCGCTGTAGCCGGGCAGACTGGAAGAGAGACGACGGCAGCAGGCTCACGTAACGGTTCCTTCAGCCCGACAGCAACGCTCTGCTGGGGGGCTGGGGGGTCTCCTACCTGTAACTCTCCCGGACGCATTTGTCGGCCGCCACGTAGTCGCCTCTGTGCAGGTGGACGAGCACCTGAGCTGTCGTTTTCTGCAGGAGTTCAGTAAATCGTGTTTAAAAGATGTTAATGGTGCGTTTTTATCAGGGAGGACAGAGATTTTCAGGTCCTCTAAGTTTATCTTTGAACTTTAGCTGCTTTTTTTTAAATTATTTTGATTTGGACCTTGAATCTGATCTGCATAGTAAATTTTTAAAAAAGAAAGTAAACCAGGGGATTAAAAAACACAGATGAAGAGTATATCTTTAAAGTGCCTATGAAGACAATTTTTGTAATACATGTGAATGCATTTCAGAAAGAAAACATTGATAAAATATTGCAAAAGAAATTTCACGTCACTGAGATGAACAGTTATTGAGATATTTGCCTGTGAAGAAACAGGAAGTGATGTCAAAGGGGAATGCTGATAACCCAGACTGTAGACAAGAATCTGATGTTTAAGATTATTTTGAGTCTCTATCAGAGAGATGAAGAACAGTTCAAATATTGTTTCAATAAACAAAGACGAGAGTTTTCTTTAAGAATTCCCCTTTGATGTCACTTCCTGTTTCACTTTGTCTGAGCCAAGTTCAAAAGAAAATAGGCCCGTTATGGGACAAAATGGGTAAAATCGTGTGTATTGTTCAAACTTTCTTAAATATAAAGATGCTTTCTTTGACTTTTTGTATTTGAAGAATATGCATGTCACAGGCACTTTAAGAAATAGGACCAAAAACTCCTGATCCTTCACCTGATCAACCGTCATTTTGAATTTAATCTTTTAAGGCTGAAATGATTCAAAACTCTCAGGTAAGCATCTTAAAGGGATTTTAAGAAAATACAAAAAAAAAGCAGCCAAAGTCCAAAGAAAATATTTAAAATTTCTAATTCAAACTACTTTGGAAGATTAAAAAAAAGTCTGGTATTTAGAAGAAGAGTTTTCTGCAGCTGTGTCACATTATTAGATGTTGTGTTTATTTCATAACGTTTCAGTCGAGCAGCGCTTCAACTGCCTCAGATATTATGTTCTGATAAAAGAAGCCGACCCACCTTGAAGCACATGGGGAAGTTCTCAATCTCTTTGTACATGTTCTTCTCTTTCTGCAGCGCCACCGCCGCTTCGTCCAGCCTGATCAGAGAGACGAGACATTTCTGGAGTTTTTAAAAACACAGGAAGAAATTAAGTAACTTATTTTTTTTTACCTTTTTAACCGGACCAGGAGTCGGGAGGCTTTGCCCAGCAGCTCTACGGCCTGACGCAGCCGGTCCTCGTTCTGAAAAATAAYGAGAAAATAAGAGAAAAAAAGGTTCACGGTTGTTTGAAACGAACAGAAAATTAAAAGAATTCGGCTGCGAGTGAGATTCTCACCTCGAACACACCTGCTGCCTTCTGGTACAGATCCACAGCTTTCTCCAGGTTCAACGGTTCGATCARTCTGAGGAGCAAAATGCTCTGTCAGCAACAAAACTTACAAAAACTACACAAATTATATTACGATAAATATATACATCAAAAGAATAAATAGTCAAATTCTTAACTTTTTTGGTTTTTAAAGCTGTGTTTGGTTTATTTAAGGCACTAAAAATAAATAAATTCCACTTTTTCATACAAATTGATTAATTTGATAAAATTTCTAACTTGATTGAGCTCTGAAAGGTTTTCTGTTCGAGTCAGTGTGCTGCTGTTCACTAATCAAATTAAAAACATATTTTATGTTGTCTTTAACACTCTTTTTAAGCGCACATATCGAGTTTAATCTGCATTTTTCATAAATAAATACCATAAAAATAAACTATAAATGAAAAGCAG